TTATCTTTTTTTTTTAAATTTTCAATTATAACATATCACAGTTGTGACACCGAAGATTGGAGTAATGTTATCTTTTCTTTGATGAACAAAAAGTTCAAAAGAACGGGTTAAGACGGTATTTTCGAAACTGGTACAAACAGTGATTTTTTTTTCTATTTGATTGTATAACCATTTAATGCCACTTATTATACATATTGGTTGATAACTGTAAATAAATGATAAGTGTTTATATAAAAGATATTGTAAATAATATGATAATGTTTTATAATGTTTGTTTCCAGGGTGATAAGAGTGTGAGAGTGATGCGCTCCCTTCTGGCTGCCCAGCAGACGTTTGTAGACAGATTAGTGCAGCTCATGAAGGCCGTTCAGAGAGAGAGCGGAAACCGCAAGAAAAAGGTATGTAACACTGGGTCAGTTTTAATAGCTGCTGTAGATGATGGAATCAGTTGATCAGCTTTTTGTAAAGTTATAAAGTTAGTTGTATCATTTCTTTCTGTCTCTGACAGACGGAGCGATTACAGAGCTTGCTGGCTGATAATGAGAAGGTGAATCTGTCAGAGATCGAGCCCATCCCTCTTCCTCTGGAACCGCAGATCCACATCAAAGGCATCATACCTGAGACTGCAACACTCTTTAAGGTTTTGTGCATCATTCATATCCATTGCATTGTGTAACACATGCATCCGTCCAGCCCTGACCGCTGGTTTTGTCTCTCCCAGAGCGCTCTGATGCCAGCAAAGCTAATCTTTAAGACAGAGGATGGGGAGCAATATCCTGTCATTTTTAAACATGGAGATGACCTGAGACAGGACCAGCTCATCCTGCAGATTATTTCACTCATGGACCAGGTCTGAAGCCATTACATCTCATCACACAGTACCAAAAGGACACAAAGTTTATATCAGAATTCATTAATGACACACAAAAGTCCAAATTTATTCATAGATGTATGTTGGTTTTAAATAAAATAAGTATTAGTAGTATTTTGATTTTTAGTCAGTTGTTATCAATACTTTCTCACTGTCTTTAACAGTTGCTGAGGAAAGAGAATTTGGACCTGAAGTTGACTCCATACAAAGTTCTGGCTACCAGCACCAAACATGGTCAGTACTGCTTCACCTCTTCTGTGCAGAACAAACTGCATGAGCCAGTCAAGTTACATATGGGAGTTTAATTTCACACTGGATGTGTATGATTTGTCTGCAGGTTTTATGCAGTTTGTGCAGTCAGTACCTGTGGCTGAGGTTTTGGCAACTGAAGGCAACATTCAGGTAATGCAATACATCAAGAGTGGTCCAATCCTGCTTCTGCAAAGCCACCTTCCTGCAAAGTTTAGTTACAACTTTAATTAGACACTCCTCAAGGTTTTCCGGATCACTAGAAACTTCTTAGCAGGTGTGTTAGAACAGATTGGAACTAAGCAGAATCGGATGCCCCTGTATTGCATGGTCATAATGACTGCCCAATTATTTCAAATAAAATGTAAAACATGATATGGCCTAGGCCAATTAGTAAATACTAGAAGCCTTATTTATTTAAATAAAAATATAGTGTGCATGTGCTGCATATGTTATTCTATAATAAATTAATTTTATATAATGAAATTCTAATTAATGGCACAATTAGGTATGGCACATACCATATTGTTTTGGATCTTTTAAACACATTTTTCTGTGTTTGTTTGTAATATAAGAAAAAAGTGTCATGTCTTTGTATTTCTCTTGGTTAATTTGTCTCCATGTAGAGTTTCTTCCGAAAGCACGCTCCAAATGATAAGGGGCCATACGGCATCAGCTCTGAAGTCATGGACACATATGTTAAAAGCTGTGGTGAGCTTCAGTTTGTGAATCCATTAATACTTTATTATTTATTCAGTACTTTAAAAATCATAATTTACTTGTACTAAATTAATATATACTTTTCAGCGGGCTATTGTGTCATCACATACATCCTAGGGGTTGGAGACAGACATCTAGACAACTTGCTTCTCACAAAGACTGGTACACTCCATAAGCGCACCACAATTTTTAATGACTTGTAAGCACTGAAAAGAAAAAAAACTGATTGGATATGCTGATCTGTCTCTCTGGCTTGCAGGGAAGCTGTTTCATATTGATTTTGGATATATTTTGGGTCGGGACCCTAAACCCCTGCCACCCCCCATGAAGCTGAGCAAGGAGATGGTGGAGGGGATGGGGGGCATGCAGAGTGAACAATACCAGGAGTTCAGGAAACAGTGCTACACTGCCTTTCTGCACCTGCGCAGGTGAGTTACAAATGGAAGACCTACACTAACATTCAAAAGTTGAACTTTTTGAAAGAAATTAATACATTCAGCAGTGATGCATTAAATTGATCAAAAGTGTCAGTCAGTATTGATAATAATCAGAATGATACTTGAGCACTAAATCAGCATATTAGAAGAACTGAAATGAAGGTTTATGTCACACAAAATACTGGAGTAATGGCTGCTGAAAATTCAGCTTTGCCATCATAGGAATGTTACATTTTAAAATATATTAGAAAACAGTTCTTATAGAGAAGTTATTTTAAGTTGTAATAATATTTCACAATATTACTCTTTACTGTATTTTTGATCAAACCTAACAGACTTTTTTCAAAAACAATAAAATGTCCTACTGACCCCAAACTTTTGAAAAATAGTGCACTTCATTTATGTAGTATATCAGTAGACTAAAGCATAGAAATTAAACTTTTTTTTTTCTCCCTTCATATGCAGATACTCAAATCTCATTCTGAATCTGTTCTCTCTGATGGTGGATGCAAATATTCCAGACATTGCACTGGAGCCTGACAAAACTGTAAAAAAAGTATGTGTGGTCCTCACATTTTGTCTCCAAATCTTCAGAGGTAAAATCAGCTGGGCAGTAAAATAACCTGTTCATTCTTTGCCCGCCCACTGCAGGTTCAGGACAAGTTTCGATTGGACCTCTCAGATGAAGAGGCGGTGCATTATATGCAAAGTCTGATTGATGAGAGCGTAGGTGCTTTGTTTGCTGCAGTGGTTGAACAGATACACAAATTTGCACAGGTGTGTGTATTTTCTCATATTTTCACTTTTTGCCCTTTTTGAAAAATCGGCATGGAAAATGGCAAAGCCTGTTGTCTTTAATGGTAAATTTCAGGATGTTAATAAAAATAAGCTCTGTTGCTGTTTGCCAGTTGCCTGTTGGCCAGTGCTGCTAAATTCTGGATTACACTACACAACTTTTGCACAGATTTTTGCCCCAGTTTGCAGTCTTGATGCTAGTTGCCGTAATTGAGAGTCAGTCTTCAGATTTTGGTCATTCAGAGTTCACAGATTTCACAGAAAATTGCATTGTATGTGATGGATTCAGTAAAAAAAATATATATATATTTTGAGCTGATTTAAGAATACATATTTCATTTGTCACATATCTCCTAGCAATGAAGCACACTTTTCTGCTCAGATTTTAAAAGTAGTGTAGTGTATTCCAGACTTAAAGTTCACACTTCTGTTTATCGGCTATTTTTATTTACCAGCACAGAAAACCCAACATGGCAGAAAATTAATTGTCGTCTTTTACTAATATTTCATGTTTGAAATTGACAGTATTGGCGCAGATGAGGTGATGTTATGGAGGCTGATTCTCACATTATCAGTGAGCAACAGATAGATGAACTGCAGCAACAAATGAATGATGGAGAAGAGAAATGGACACGTGCCAAGGCCACACTAGTGACATCATGTTTTCACCATTCATGCACTAGGTCTTGACTCTGCTGAATATCTTTGTATATATAAAATTGTAATAAAATGAACTGTATATGTAAAAAAAAGACAGCCAAATAAAGATTCCAACTTTAGCATTTGTGTTTACTGTTTAGTATTCAACTTTCATTATATTCACTTTAAAGTTCAAACACTCATATAAAACATTTATAGTCTGTGTTAGTAGAATTCAGTTTGGTGTTTTGGTATGTTTTACAATAATAGTTAAAGAAAATGAATCATCCGTTAAATACGTAAATGAAACCGTTGACTAGGCTCAGTTATTTGTTTAGGTGTGTCCTTCTATGACAGTGAGTGGTTCTGATACATATGGTGATTTTAAAGGTTTCTCTGGATGAGAATGTGCACGTTTCCTTTTGTGCAGTGCCAGTCAGTTGAGTCACAACATCCTATGAGAAGTATTCTCTATGGCACAGCTTGTGTATAGAAATCTGCCAATGGTTTAGAATAAGACTAAAGTTTTTTGAAGTTCAACATTATTATACTTTTCTTGGACTCTTCAGGTTCTATAGATTAAATCTTGCACCCACCATCATTGTCGAAACATAAATCCACTGAGCAACTCTAACGCAAATGTCTTTAAAAAAATAAATAAATAAATATATTTACAAGCCTGAACAGATATATTTACTATCAGCAAGTGTTTAAAAAACAAAAATCATTAAATTAATTAATACTTGCAGTTATCAAGAAAGATACCAAAAAATATGTATAGTGATGAAGAATATACATGATATTTGGTAAAAAAAATTAAGTACAGATTTAGCTTGCATTTCTTTTTTTGGGGGGGCGGCCTACGGTATATGTATATGCATGTTGTTTTTCATGCTTGTGGGCTGTGGTTTATTAAAGCTGAACTTAACCCATGCAGACTTCTTTCTATTCTGCTACATTTGGTCAAGAAGAAACTTGACATTTAAAACTTGAGTCATCTGTTGAGTGCAATAGCAGTGAATATCTGCATTTTAGAAATTCATTTGGAGGTGGTGGCATAATTGCCACGCATGGTTATGGCTTCACAAAAAGTAAAAAATAAAAAATAAAAAAAAAACTTCCCCCTTGTAACTTACTGTATTTCTTATTTTACAACAAATTTCCCTTCACTGTTACAGTAGCAAAATTCAACAACCAATTAGACCTCAGAGAATTTAAGCCAAGTCCACATACACGTTCTCACAAAGGAGGAAATAAGAAGAAAGCATGCATACTTCTATACAAAGCAACTATACAAAAGCAACATACATGCTACAATACGTCTTGTTGTGTGGTGCAACCTTACTGGAGTCAATGAAAGTCTCATTCTGAAGTTCCAGGTCTCGAAGTAAAGCCTGAAAGCAAGTAAAACACCTAAGATGGTCATTAAAAATTATACTTAGTTCATAAATGCACTGAATCCAGTTAAAATGGTTTGTGACAGATTAAACAAACAAAAAATGCTTCTGCATTAGAAGGTTTTGGAGAGCTCCTTGGAGTCACTGCTTTTATTGGTACTAAGAATGACTAAAATGCTTTGCAATATACAGCTAGTGGAGCTTTCTTTACTGTATATCATACAAAAGTAAAAGTACAATTTGATTGGATGACTGTTGTTCCAAGAGTGCTTATATGGACCCTTATCAGACTGATGACACATTTCTGCATTAAATAACATTGTAAATCTCTATATTTTTTTCCTATTGAGGAAAGTCATGAAAATGCAATAGCTGATTATTTCTTTTAGTCTTGGAGCAAATGGGAACACAAAAATAATTTTCTATGGGCTTCTGTGTACCTCTGTAGAGCTGTGGTTCTCTACCTTTATGACAAACTGGGAGTAGTGCTGTCTCAAATTAATTGATTTGGTGATTACTTATGTTTCAAGAATGGTATTGTTTTAAATAAAAACAATAGTTATTAATATACAGTGGGTACGGAAAGTATTCAGACCCCTTTAAATTTTTCACTCTTTGTTATATTGCAGCCATTTGCTAAAATCATTTAAGTTCATTTTTTTCCTCATTAATGTACACACAGCACCCCATATTGACAGAAAAACACAGAATTGTTGACATTTTTGCAGATTTATTAAAAAAGAAAAACTGAAATATCACATGGTCCCAAGTATTCAGACCCTTTGCTGTGACACTCATATATTTAATTCAGGTGCTGCCCATTTCTTCTGATCATCCTTGAGATGGTTCTACACCTTCATTTGAGTCCAGCTGTGTTTGATTATACTGATTGGACTGGATTAGGAAAGCCACACACCTGTCTATATAAGACCTTACATCTCACAGTGCATGTCGTAAAGAAGAACCCAAAGATCAGTGTGGCTGAGCTCCAGAGATGCAGTTGGGAGATGGGAGAAAGTTGTAGAAAGTCAACCATCACTGCAGCCCTCCACCAGTCGGGGTTTTATGGCAGAGTGGCCCGACGGAAGCCTCTCCTCAGTGCAAGACACATGAAAGTCCGCATGGAGGACTCCAAGATGGTGAGAAATAAGATTCTCTGGTCTGATGAGGCCAAGATATAACTTTTTGGCCTTAATTCTAAGCGGTATGTGTGGAGAAAACCAGGCACTGCTCATCACCTGTCCAATACAGTCCCAACAGTGAAGCATGGTGGTGGCAGCATCATGCTGTGGGGGTGTTTTTCAGCTGCAGGGACAGGACGACTGGTTGCAATTGAGGGAAAGATGAATGCGGCCAAGTACAGGGATATCCTGGATGAAAACCTTCTCCAGAGTGCTCAGGACCTCAGACTGGGCCGAAGGTTTATCTTCCAACAAGACAATGACCCTAAGCACACAGCTAAAATAACGAAGGAGTGGCTTCACAATAACTCTGTGACTGTTCTTGAATGGCCCAGCCAGAGCCCTGACTTAAACCCAATTGAGCATCTCTGGAGAGACCTAAAAATGGCTGTCCACCAACGTTTACCATCCAACCTGACAGAACTGGAGAGGATCTGCAAGGAGGAATGGCAGAGGATCCCCAAATCCAGGTGTGAAAAACTTGTTGCATCTTTCCCAAAAAGACTCATGGCTGTATTAGATCAAAAGGGTGCTTCTACTAAATACTGAGCAAAGGGTCTGAATACTTAGGACCATGTGATATTTCAGTTTTTCTTTTTTAATAAATCTGCAAAAATGTCAACAATTCTATGTTTTTCTGTCAATATGGGGTGCTGTGTGTACATTAATGAGGAAAAAAAATTAACTTAAATGATTTTAGCAAATGGCTGCAATATAACAGTGAAAAATTTAAGGGGGTCTGAATACTTTCCGTACCCACTGTATACTTTAATATATTAAACCTAACCCTGTTCCCTGGTGCAGGACCACTGCTATAGATCTTTTAATGGGAACCAGTTTCATCTTTTTAAAATGTAAAAATACTCCTTTTTGTGGTTTAATTAAAATGTAAATTACTCAATATTAACTTATAAAAGCAAAAACACACTTGCAAACGTGCTCATGTAAGTTCAGTACCAAAGATCTGGGCAGCGGACGTTCAGAAAAGGAACACTTTCTCCAGACCAGAAAAAATACTAGGCCAAGAACGATGAGAACAGCACACACAATTATGACGATGAGGCTTTCTGAAGAACACACAAACACACACATGCATGAGTGCGGGCAACCAATGCACACATGTGCAAACAAATAAATGTGTCTTGAATCATTACACCACAAAATAAGTAAAAACGCTTTGTGTAAAAATAATGCATACCGAGCTTTGCTGGTATGTAAACACACTGCGGGAGGCTCGGGGGAGAAGAGGTCAGTACACCCTCAGCTGTGAAGTTGGCCACAGCACAGTACACTTGCCCTGGTGTCAGAAAACCAAATTCCACCTCGAATGGGTTTTCAAGCATCACTTCAGCGGTGTACGCCTTTAAGAAAAATGAATACAAAAATAAAACAATGGAACTCTTAATTTTTAAATCTAAATGTAAACACTTATACTGTAAAGAAATAAATGAACAAACAGAGGTTAAAGGTAAAAAATGGGGTAAAGGGATGTAAAGATGAAAAGAGTTGTGCACCTGTCTGTCTGAGAGGTTCTGTTCGTTGTATAGCGTGACTGTGGCCCAGAGACTTTTAAACTCAGTTAGGGGACAGTAGCATCCCATCTCATTCCCTTCCACATAATCATCATCTTCAAACGTGCAGCTTATGGATGGAGCACAAGGAAAATTTACCGTCACCCAGAGACTCCCATTGGCCATGGAGTTGGTTATGGAGGGCGGGGTGAATTTGGCAGCAGCTAGCATAAAAAAAAGAATAAAAAAAAAAAAGTAAAAAGACCAATCTTACTTCACACCTTTTTCATAATAATAATAATATAGTCAATCATAATAACAATTCACATTTGAACAAATTCTTGTCCGATTATATTAACATTATAGACAGATATAAGATGTTTTAAAACACATTCTTACATATTATGAGTGAATTTATTTCTGTAGTTTAACCTAAACTTTTCAAGGTTTTTGCAATATTCCTTATTTTTGACCTTTATTTGTCAAATATGTAAAACATGGTTTGAGGTTTAATACTGACGATCAGTTATAGGGGTGCAACCCCGAGTTTCATTCAGCCAGAGAAGTTCAGATGTCAGTCGGATGAAGTTGTAGATGTTTATGTTCGGAAAGACATGTGACAGATCACAGCTTTGCCGAGAAATTTGGATGCAGTCTGAAACATTTTCCCATGATGTACTGCAACACAAACACACAATATCAAGAACACTTTATAACAATGCCAAGTACATTCTTTATGGTGATCATCTGGCCATTCATCAGCTGCAAAACTGTGTGAAACAAACAGACATTTCTGACTTTCATTTTCTTAAAAAATGTGACTCAACTACTGGGCATGATTTTTGAAAAAAAGAAAGCAAGTAAAGAGCAAATTGAGCTTGAGCGCTTGTGAGTCATTTTCTGTTTCAAGTGTAATTCAGAGGAAACCAACAGCGTGCCTGAAGTGATAACAACAGCGTATCTGCTCTGGGGCGATGAGCCTGGATTGGTTCTCACTGTGGTTTACTGCTAAACCACCCAGTTTCTCCTCTCACCTCTGCTCCACACTCTCATTTCTCCCCTAAACAACATCTTCCATATCATTCATAATTACTCATGTGTATCTAAACTCCTTTTGTGTGTAGATGACACTCACCCGTGTGTCTTGCTCAAGACAGTGTAAGTCGTCTTAGGGTTGGCATCAGGGCAATCCCATTCAAGATGGCATCCGAAATTGATCGTATGCACACTGATGTCACAGACAGAGACTACAGACTCTGAACGAAACATATGAAAACAAGAACATGTTGCACCTGTGTGTCACAGACATGATCTGAGAACATGCAGTGCACCAGATGAAAGACAGAAAAAAAAGCTAAAAATGTACACTCACCTACATTCAACACCAACAGAAAGAAACATAAGTTTAGGGGAGCGACAGGCATCCCCACAACAGCATGCTATTTTATGAAAACACAAATAAATACAAATAAATAGCTTATCCAAATGCCTTGGCTGATAATATCTCTACAAAGCTGACTGACAAAAATATTAACTATTTATAATGAGGTTAACAAAATACACTTTACCTTAAACAAAAGAATGGAGAGATTTCATTAGCTGTTACTTTCAGCGGGTGAACAGAAAAAGTGAGAAGAGGACAGCTGTCACAGCACAACTTATGCCACAAAACCACACAGTGACTGAACCCACTCACAGAAACAGAACTGGAGAAGAGAACAAAAGCTCTCTCTAGAGGAAATGGTATCAGAAATATTATTAGATTATAGCAATTCATAAATATATTATAATTAAATATAATTCAGATTTATTTTACAGCTACACACACAGCGGAGATCAGAATTAGAGAACAATCTATAAATACTTGATTTTTTTTCTGAAATATTGATAATCGTCACCGCTCAAAATATGAAGGAATATTATACGACTGTTATACTAACATTTTGACAAAATACCAAGGGATTTTAACACAAGTCTTTATTTTGTGGAAAAAACAGAGTAAAATTAGAGAACAGTAATCACTGTAGCACAGAAGAAGATTACAACTAAAATGTTGGAGGGTTACAGCTGTCAGAAATTAGTAGGAAGTGTAGAGGCCCCTGCTTTGAGTGACTTCAGCACATCTGCAGGATATCACTCATTTCTCACACTGCGCTGGTCTTGAGCCACTCTCTTCCATGGTTCACTAACTGTAGTGGGTTTCTTACCCATAACTTTGTTGCCAAGAATTCTCCAGAGATTTTCAGTTGGGTTCAGATCTCTGAGCCGGCCGTTTCATTATTTCATTTCAATGTTGTTGGCTTCAAGGAACTGCTTTACCTGTTTTGCAGTGTGTCTGGGGCATTGTCTTGCATGAAAAACTGCAGGCTGATTGGGAGATGCTTGCAGGGAAGGTAAGGCATGTTGCTGAAGGAGGTTCTGATAAACATTTGCATTCACTCTGCCATGTAGCTGTAAAGAGGCCCAACTCCTGCTGCAGAAAACTTACCCCAAACCTTGACCTGACACTTCCTCCTCCACCTTTCACTGACGACTTTACGCCCTCGGGGTTCAGTCTTTTCCCAGTTTGATGCTGAACATGTTTCCCATCTGACCCAAATAAATTAGCCTTGCTCTCATCACATTTTCAGTGTGCAATTTCAGTCAACTGGCAAGCAATTCCCGTTGCAGTGTTGAGCCGATTCCGCACTGAGAATCTCCGTATTATCCGATATTCTCGTGCATTTGTCTTACATAGACAATCAGCCTTTTTGGGGGACTTGAATGAATTAGTGTAATTGTAAAGCTGCAATATTCTAGAAATCACCGATTTGGAATGACCAACTTCTCTTGCAATGGCTGAAAGGGGCAGCCCTTTGGTCTTCATCTGGACAACCTCCTGTCGCAGGGTTTCAGTCCCCTTACAGCGCACCGCCATCTTGCAATCTTAGTGAAAATTAGAGGAATTCTGCCAGTGAAATAGGGTTCGTCATAGAATTAAGAAAATTAGCACCAGGTGCCAGATTAACACCAATAACAAGGCGGTATCTGTAAGTGTTTTGTAATATTGATCAGAGTTCTCTTTCAAATATTAAATTGTTTTATGCTGTGCTTCAGAATACAATTAATTTATGAAATATGCTTAAACTGCCCTTCTATTCCTGTTATAACTTCAAATAGGACTAAACAGTGACCCTGAAATTCAGAAAAATGTTTTCTAATTTCAATCTCCACTGTAAATATATAACTTCTAGTTGTTCTAATCTACAAATGCTACGGTTCAAAAGTTTGGGGCAAGATTTTGAAACGAGTTTAAAAATAAATCACTTATACTCACCTAAGCTGCATTTATTTGTTCAATTTGCAATTATCAGTCAATATCAATATCACATTATCAATGCTGAAAGCATTTGTGCTGTTTAATATTTTTGTGGAAAACCTGATACATTCAGGATCGAAGCACATCAAGTCAAAAAATTATTTTCGGTGACTTGTCAGTCTTGACTGTCAGTTTTGTCAATTTAATGAAATTAATACTTTTATTCCTTGCTAAAAATTTGATCAGAGTTCTCTTTCAAATATTAAATTGTTTTATGCTGTGCTTCAGAATACAATTAATTTATGAAATATGCTTAAACTGCCCTTCTATTCCTGTTATAACTTCAAATAGGACTAAACAGTGACCCTGAAATTCAGAAAAATGTTTTCTAATTTCAATCTCCACTGTAAATATATAACTTCTAGTTGTTCTAATCTACAAATGCTACGGTTCAAAAGTTTGGGGCAAGATTTTTAAACGAGTTTAAAAATAAATCACTTATACTCACCTAAGCTGCATTTATTTGTTCAATTTGCAATTATCAGTCAATATCAATATCACATTATCAATGCTGAAAGCATTTGTGCTGTTTAATATTTTTGTGGAAAACCTGATACATTCAGGATCGAAGCACATCAAGTCAAAAAATTATTTTCGGTGACTTGTCAGTCTTGACTGTCAGTTTTGTCAATTTAATGAAATTAATACTTTTATTCCTTGCTAAAAATAATTTGTAAATAAAAACTGACCCCAAATTTCTGAACGGTTTACACCCCCCCCACCCCACACCACACACACACACAGAATAAACATGAAATAAACATTGCCTACAGTACCCCATGAAGGCTTTGTATCTGTTATACCATTTGACACATATAATGTAAAATGCAGAGTTACTATATTACAGATAGTGTGACTCATATCTTCCATAAACACAACATAGCCTGTTAGTACTTTGTCCGTCATTTAATGTCATTAATAAAATAATATATAATTTTTTTCCCATTCTCAAAGTATTTTCATAAAGGTTCAAATAACAAAAATATTGAAAACACATGTCTTTAGAAAGGCATTAAAACCTATGGGAGTGTTCAAGTTTAGAGGACTAGGACATGAGATCAGAATACTAAATGATCCACTTAGTCTAAACAGTAATACATAGCGTTTTCTTTCTTACCAGAATGACATATTTCAGCTTGATTTTAGTTTGAGTGCATTAAGCAGTAGCATCCACTTTAAAGGTAGCGCTTCACCTATACATCATGCATCTTTTATGTCTGTGTGCTAGGCAGAGCAATGTTTGGCTCTGTAGGCGAGGGTGGCAAAGCTTTGCACAGAAGCCTTTTCCCGGCCGCATCGCCATTCAAGTACTTATAAGGGGTTTGTCGAGGTCCACGTGTGCAAATGGAGGGAAAACTCATCCCTGCGAGGCAGCAACCCGGACAGACTATGACCTCCTCCTGTTCCGGAGGCATAAAAGGGGTTGTGGCACCATTGGCGTTAATAACCCCCCATCCCAGAGATCGATTTATAGGGATGGTGCCGTTGTTGTTGTCCATGTCTAGTAAAGGAGGTAATGAGGGTGGCTCGTCGGAGACCGGGGAGCTCCAGCCATTGGAGAAAGTTTTGATTGAAGTAGCGACAGCGCTACCTAGTGTATCAGGAGAGTTGGTGCAGTCCATGGGATCCTCAATGCTTTCCTCTAATCGGCTTAGAGACATCAATTCCAGATCTAATGAAAGACCAGAGTCATCAGCTACAGCTTCTTGACTGTTCATTTCAAGATTCTTCTCCTTGTCGTCCTGCTTGGGGTCTGAACGCCTAATGCCGTCACCGGGTGTATCAAAAACCTCACTAATATTAGAGAGATCAGCAATACTCTCGTTGCTCTTAGCCAACACACTGTCAATTCCCATGTCCAACAAATTTCCATTGACTGGATTTACATCTGTGTCCATAACACTTTGATTATTTTCACATTTCTCACTGTCAGCAGTACCACGTAGAGACTGGATGTCTTCTGGCTTGCAGGGCAGTGATTGGCTGCGTCTGTGGAAATGGAGAGGGCCTTTGTCACAGGAGACAGGGCTGCTGGGGTCAGGGGGCGGAGGGAGAGCAAAGGTGAGGGAAATTACAGACTTGCTGGGGGTGTCAAAGAGTTTGATGCGGCCGCCGTTGAGGTCTTGGCGCTGGGAGAAGGGGTTGACACGCATCGGTGTGGTCCCAGTCAGGAAAGGAGACGGAGGGAGGAGCACATCGGACTTGCTGCGACAGAGACGTGGGTCAGCGGGAATGCTTAGAGAATGTTTTCGACTCAAAGGTGTTGTGTTTGAGGATGACCGGTCTGGAAACGAAGAAGAAAAAAAAACTTTTTAATGCCATGCAAGCTTCTTTGGTCATTTTCAAGGCGAAAACTATACTTGAATTATTACAATTTAAAATAGAAACTAAAAGATATTTAAAGGGATGGTAAAAAAAAAAATTTAGTTTCCAAACCCTTTGGTTAATATCTTCCAAAAAAAAAAAAATCACGATATTTTGAATAAAACCTGTGAGGTTTCGGTCCCTCAACTGATAAATAAAAGCCTAAATTAAATCAGTTTATCATAAAAAGCAATAGCATCTCTTCACAAGATTAAATTAGGAGGGACAGAAACCTATTCAAAATATTTTTTAAAAATCTTAATTTGTGTTTAGAAGATTAACCAAACGCTTAAACTTGGTTTGGTTTGGAATAACATCCAAGGGGTGAGTAATGATGATAGAATTTTCATTTTTGGGTGAACTATTCCTTTAAGACCAATAAACAACTTTGTTTACAGCAAACATAAATGTGATTTAAATTACGAACAAATGCCATGATTTGAAAATTAGTACTGAAAAGATTTATTTATATGAATTTGCATTATATACGCATTGCAAATACTTTTTTTTTTTTTTGCTGACTCACCCTGTACATCAGGCTCCATGCATTCACTCTTCTCTCGATCACTCACCATCTTCTCCAGCTCTGCTACCACCTCTGTGAATGAGGGCCGACTGTCTGGGATCATCTGGGAGGGAAAAAACACAGAATTTTTAAATGTAAACACTTTTGCCCGCATTTTTGTGAAGTCATACTAATAATCGATTAGAAGAATACATTTGTATCTTGGCAGAATTAGAAGCCCTGTTAAGGAAAGGCTCCTAGGTCAACAAAAAAAAAAACACTGCACATGTAAGCATATGTGTCAGCATGTGAGATTTATAGAAGAGGATGAATGTTAATGTGTGATCTTTCATGACAGTAGATAAGAGGTCTTACACTGCAGCAGATGAATGTGACTTTGAAGAAATGAGGTGGACAGTCTCCAACCATCTGCCGAAAGGCCTCCACATCAAGACCAAAGTCCTTTTTTTTTGCTGACTCACCCTGTACATCAGGCTCCATGCATTCACTCTTCTCTCGATCACTCACCATCTTCTCCAGCTCTGCTACCACCTCTGTGAATGAGGGCCGACTGTCTGGGATCATCTGGGAGGGAAAAAACACAGAATTTTTAAATGTAAACACTTTTGCCCGCATTTTTGTGAAGTCATACTAATAATCGATTAGAAGAATACATTTGTATCTTGGCAGAATTAGAAGCCCTGTTAAGGAAAGGCTCCTAGGTCAACAAAAAAAAAAAAACTGCACATGTAAGCATATGTGTCAGCATGTGAGATTTATAGAAGAGGATGAATGTTAATGTGTGATCTTTCATGACAGTAGATAAGAGGTCTTACACTGCAGCAGATGAATGTGACTTTGAAGAAATAAGGTGGACAGTCTCCAACCATCTGCCGAAAGGCCTCCACATCAAGACCAAAGTCCTGAAACACAATCACCAAACAACCCTAACTTAAAAAAAAATGCTACAAAGCTGAATGTTACTACTGTGAGGAGTACAAGCTGTACTGTAGAAATCAATCATCCTGATAATGATAGGTTTAGTGTTTGGTTGTAAACAGTAATTAAACAATGATTTGTATTTAAAAGCATGACTTCACTGGCAGTGCTGTAATCTCACATGGAGTAAACTATGACCCATATTCATAAACTGAGTTGAGTACATGAGATTGTTACAGGCCTAATATTCATAGATCAGGTGGAAGGGTGAACCAAACGGATATAAACCAATAAAATGCTTTATCAGCAATTTTAGAATAATGGTACAGGGAAATATGAAAGTTTTTCATACTTTTTCTTTTAAGATACGGCAAATTCAGTTTTTCACCTCAGTTCGTGGAAGAAAGTCAGGATCTGCCTGTATCCGGCCAATAATCTCACAGAGGATAATTCCATAGGCAAATACATCCACCTGTAAAAAAAAACCAAACATTTTTATTAAACCCGTTTTCATTATCTAAATCCCTATACATAATAATCAACTTAATACAACAATATTCTCACTCAATGGGAATAATGGCACCAACTTTGCATTTGAAATTGTAAAATGACAGTAATCTGATAAGTAATGTGGGTGAAACAGTCATTGAAAAGGACTCTGGTCTGTATCTGGGTAATGAATCATATGGTGTTCAACCTTTTCATTGTAGCGTTCTCCTCTGAGCACCTCCGGAGCCATCCAGTAGGGAGAGCCGACGACAGCCAGTTTCGGTTTCTCTGCCTCATCACTGAAAACAGCCAAAGGGAAAACAGGAAAATCATTTACTTAAAGTGAACCTACAAGTTCTATTAATATTTTTACAATTACTCCTCATTTCCTAATTTAACACCCATAAACTCCTAGTCCACTAACCCACAGCCTGTTTACGTGTGCGTGGATGTATAAAAACAAAACAAGGTCTTGTAAGATCTTAATTTTAGCTGGCATACTCATACTCTGCTGAGACACTTCCTCAGTTTTATTTTGGTCTGGGACTGTGTACTGGGCATAAATAGACAGAGGGGAAGAGAGGAGACAAGGAAAGAGAGAGAGATAAATGGAGTAAAATACTCCAGTGTAAACACCATTTGGGGATGTGGGTTAGTCAGAGTGAGGGAATCTACCGCAGCAAACAGCTGAAATACTTTCTCCTTTTTAGGATAGCTTTCCAAAAAGCCCTAATTTAGCAATCTGCTCTGTCTTCTTCACATGTACAAATACTCGTGGTTTTACACGTAAACATGAAGCATTTGCAAGCACACCAAAATATGCATTACATAACATTTACAGAAATAAAAACAGAAAATCAGGGCTAAGCTCACTTTTGGGGGGTTTTCCATTGTGTACAGTACCTGGTACCTTTTTCAAAACCACCTCGGCTGAGGTTCCAAGTGAGCCGTACCATTACCAAAATGTGACGTGTAAACCCTGCTGATCACTGATTGGCCGGAGAGAAGTCACTACCTGCATCATTGAACTTGCGACAAGACACTTGACCCGCTGGATTAAATCAGAACAGCCAGCAAGGATCGAATGCAACTTTTTGCGAACGAACAACAGTTTCGAATGAGCGCACATTTTTTAAACAACAAAAAAAATACCGGTTTCGTAGTCTGAAGGAGACATTCCTCTCATTGATAGCAGAGGAGCAGATCCAGCGAGAGCTTGATGGGATGACGCGGAATGAAAACGTTTTGAAAAAGGCAGCGCAACTATAACGACATGTCTATAATCCCGCCCACTCAAAAGCGGTACTAAACTGCAACGGAAACACAAACCGAGTCGAGCCTGTACCGTGCAGAGCCGTACCATGCAGTGGAAAAGCACCAACAGTTCCCTTTCAGCCACTTACTTCGATGTTGTGTTGAAGTTCCGACACTAGGGGTTGCACTTGGGAGCCCAGACACCTCTTACTTTATTGAGAAAAGGACAATAAAATTGGTGAGCAAAATGTGCATAGCTGGCCACACCTTGGACATGCTGCAGCGTCTCTTTAGGAGATGCAGCACTGCATTCACCTTTAAATCTCCTCATTGTTGGATCTGTGGCACAAGCTTGCCCATACACAGATAAGTATACTTCGAGTACCCCCTGGGTGCTTCAACAGCAATCTTTCAGAGCAAATTTTCTCTTAAAAAGCTTCACAGATGTATTTGTGTGCGTTTACAACATGCCTTTCCATCAGTGTCCTTCTGGTTGCGGGTTGTACATCTCGCCCTCTGACAGGCACGATTGCTGTGCTCAGTGTTTGGGCCATGCCCATACTGAAGCAGCTTTTGTGTATGGTTTATGTTCTTCTTGTGAGGACATGGCCATCGGCAAGTTGCACTCATGGCTCGCGTTCATTTTGTTTTTTTATAAAGACCATGAGTCACCTCAGCCGTTTCTTATCCTGGCCCTTCTACTGCCTAGACGATGTGCACTGAAGGAGAGCAAGGAGATTTTGCGGGAGCAGTTTTGCCGAATGAATTCCCACGGATATCTCATTCCTCCAACTGCACGTGTTCTCCAGTAAGAGTTTCTGGGTGAGTTTAAGAACCTGCCACAGTGCGGGTTCGATTTCTCATTTGGGGCTTGTGATGATGATGATGAGTGTGTGTGGGTGCTGTGTGTCAGTCTGAGACAAGACGCTGAGATGGCAGCCATGCTTACCCCGGCAGCAGAGAGCATCAGGCTGTGGACGAGTGGACTACTCCACCCTGTCCTGAGCGCTCTTGCTTAGTTGATTGGTTCTTGTAGAACAAGTGCGACACTCAGCCGTGCTCCACCCCAGTTCCTTTCTTCACGGAAGTGCATGAGGAGCGGATGAAATCGTGGAAGGCACCTTTCTGCCATAACACGATACATCGGTTCCTCCCTTGACAGCGGTCCAGCGAGGGAATAAATGGGGGTTTCCCGGATGGAGAGAGCGATTGCGGTGCATTGGTGTGTCCAAGATGCTGCCGCCTGGAGGGGCTCCCGTCTAGAGCATAAGTTACCTCATCCTTTGTGGCGAGAGCTTATACTGCTTCTGGACAAGATGTGTCCGCTCTGCACACCATGGCTGTCCTGCAGGTATTCAGGCCAGGGTCTGCACAAGGGCGGTCCCAACATGGAGCATGCAGGAACTGCGTTCAGCGACTGACTATGCCCTCTGGGTTACGAAGGTCACTGCACAGGCTCTGGGGAGAGCGATGTCCACATCAGTGGTCCAGGAGCGCCACCCGTGGCTCAATCTGGCAGAGATGCGAGATGCTGAGAAAATTAGTTCTCAATGCTCTCTTTGACGACACGATTTAAGAATTTATGCTGCAATTCTCCACAGCTAAAAACAGAGACCATTAAACACTTACTGCCTCGGTGTGGGTCAGGTTCTACCCTTGAACCCCTGAAGCAGCAGTCTCCGTCTGTTTATTGCCGGGGATGGCCCACTGCAAGGACTGCTGAGGCCCCGCAACAGCCTGAGCTGGCAGTCAAGTCTAAACAGTGGCCAGTCACTCGCAGGGAGGTGACACCGCCAGTCTGTCCTCAGGATGCTAAGAACCCACAAAGGGCTTCATAGAGAACCTGAGATGGGCGACCCAGGGAGGAGGGAAGCTGACGAGAACAGCTCCACTTCTGCCGAGGGGACGGGAGGTGGATCCTGCTGGGCTCCGTCACATGGCGGAACAGTCACCAGATGGTCATTAAAAAGAGCTATTTATTCCTTTCCTAGTCACATCCCCGGCGTTTCTGGTTCTCCCATGTGCGACGACCAGGTGCTAAAATCGCGCATCAGAGCCTGTTTGGACACAGATTCTCTGTCCCTTTGCAGCCCCTATTTCATTGTACCCAAGAAGGGTGGGGGGCTCGCACCAACCTTGGAGCTAAGGGAGCTGAGCCGGGCCCTTTACAAGCTCCCTTTCATAATGCTAACCCTCAAATACA